CACCCTCTTTAAGGACCCTTTTTGCTACCAGAGTGCTCTTGGACTGAACAAGAGCCAGGGCTCATTGTTTCCAGCTTTTGGCATTCCTTACCTTGAACTTTAAAAATCCATGCAGACAGGAGGGTTCTCCCCCCTCTCCTTAAATTTTCATTTTAAAAAACACTCATCAGTTTGCCATTCCAGCTCTTAAAATTAACTGTATTACAGTCAACACTGCTGAGTGCTTTCAATAGTATAGAAACAAGGAGTTTAATAGTATAGGAACGCTCCACCTCTGAGGTTTGCCCTGTGTAAGAACTGGGTACCTGGGTTCAAAACCTGTGAGAAGCTGGGTCATTTTTTATTTGTCTCTAGCTGCCAATTAGCAATGTTCATTAATCCACTGCCTAGGAGAAGTGCATGATTAAAATAGACAGTGTCACTGACCACTGACAAGACAATATGCAGAAGGCTGTGCTGTAGCTGCCTGTCATTGTGCTGCTGTAGTTAGAGCTCGGTCTCATTTTCCAGGGGGAAGTAAGAATTTCTTAGTTTCTTTGCATCCTGGTGTAAAGACAGACACATCATCCATCCAGGCTTTGAACATTGCATTGCATTGTGCCCTGGGCAGGGAGCCTGCAGCAGACCCTGGGATTGCTTGTGCACCACCTGCCAGCCTCTATCAGACAGGTTTGGTTAGAGAACATGTTGTGTCCGCAGTCACTGCAAATGTCCTTCGCTGTGTTCGCCCACAGAGTCATCCAAGGCTCCTTGGGGGCGGCAGATTTGAATTCTACCTCCTCAAGGATGAGTATCTGAAGCTGGGCCAAAGCTTTGTTTCCTGCTGGTGAGAAAAGAGGGAATGGGGGAGGAGGCGTGGGAGGGCTTGAGGGGTCAGGCTTGATGTGCTGCTCCGGGGGCAGCAGGAAGGGGCTGGCGGTGCATGGCTGCTGCCAGGAAAGGCTAACCCCTAGCTCGAGACCACAAACCCTTGGTGGCAGTGGCCAGCTTGGTTTTCCAAGGCCACAGATAAAATAAGCAATGACCTAGGACAGCAGACAGTGGAGGAGACAGAGGGGCACAGTCCTGCTGCCTGCTCCCTGGTGTGTTGGACAGAAGGAATTTTGTTCTGTAGTGGGAATTGCACTCTGTTTGCTTGCTTAAGAAAAAGATGACCGGTGCTTTAATTTACACCCCACCTGGGGATCAAATCTCTCAGTAAGACCAAAGGGTTCTTTTCCCCCAGGTCTCGCTTTTGAGGGAAGGAAATTTCCATGACAGAGGATGAAACACTAGGAATACTTTTCTTAGGTGGATCTTCCAGCTTCTGGTTTGTAGCCACACTAATTTGTGGGTGAAGGAAATATTTTGGTACTGAAAACTTGCCCAAAAGCTGTTTAACAGGGAGTTGCAGTTTAATTAGCACTTATGAGGCATTAAGAATAATTGTATTCAATTTGGCCACTCAGGATAAGGTGTGATTCAGGATCAGCTGGTTGGTACTCTGAAAAAAAAAAAAGAAAAAGGAAAAAGAAAGAAATACCGCTGTGTGGACTGGTGAATATGTGCCATTAACTGGGAAAAAGTGGAAGAAACTTGTATTAACTGGAGGGAAATGGTTTGACTTCAAGTTCCTTATTTTGTAGTGAGCTGGATTACAGTTTATCCCTGCTGTCTCTTTCTCTGTCATTTTTTTTTTTATTTAGGAGATGTGCCAAAAACTTTAAAAAAATCCATTTACTTATTTATGCTTTGCACAGGAATGAGAAAGCCTACCACTTTTAGCAAGCATGTGAACTAGAAAGGCAAGGGAACACAGGGTGAAATTTTATGTGGAGGCTTGTGTATAAGGAAGGGTAGCCATCAACATCCCCTGAATATTTCTTTTTTCTTCACAGCAGAGTTCATTGTGCTCCCTGAGTGCTGTAGGTGAAAACAAAGACAGTGCCACTACTAAATGAGTGCAGTTTCAAAGGCTGGCTGAGAAAAGAGAAAACAAACTATATGCAGTTTAAATGCCTGTTTGTATTCAAGCTACCACACAGGCTAATACACACACCAGTGTGATGTAAGGCAGTGGAGATGACCTGATTAGCAAAGCCCTTGCAAGGAGCTGAGGAGATCCCTGCTGCACCAGTGCTCCCTCCTTGGGGACCTGCGACTACTCCCAGCCGAAGGAAACCTTTCCCCAGCTGCCAGAGGGTTTCTGAAAATGGCAGTGGCAGTGCTCCGTGTGTGCCTGGAGGTGAGGGAAGTAGGAAGAGCAAACAGCCCCGTAGAACAGCTGGGATGTTGTGAAGGATGCAGCATGAATTGCTTGGGCTTTGTGAGCTCCGTTTGCAGGAGTTGCTGTGTGTTTGGGAGGCTGTGCTTCGGCAAACAGCTCACACAGTTTGGTTGTGCTGTTCATCCTGTTGCTTGAAAGCCGTCATTCAGTGCTAGGGCAAGATAAAGTAAGTGGTCTTCCCGTTTGAAGGCTCTTGCAGCCTTGTTCTCATGTGTGCTGAGCAGGCAGAGGTCCACAGCTGCAAATGGGAAGTCGTGGTGCTCAGCACTAACTGCAGTCAGGTGTTAATTATTCCAAGTCAGAGAAATAGAGACAGAAATCCATATATGTAAGAAGACACATAAGATCCATGACTTTCTTTCTCTCCCGTGAGTACATATAAATATACAGAACTGGTATGTGGGTTTTGGTTATTTTGTGCATTCCTGTGCCAGGAGAGTGTGCAAGCTTGTGGCAGTGACCCGGGGTTTTGGGTTAGGAGCACAGGGCACTATTTCTGGCTCTGCCGTAGCTACTTGTGTGGCCGAGTGTATTAAGTCCTGCTCCTGAAGCCAGCAAACCATTTATTCGGGCTTCATTCTCAGACTTGCTGAATACCCCAAAAGGCTGCTATTATTGGAGGGAACTGCCATTCCTCAGCTCTCAAAGTGGGCTTTCCATAAATCACCAGCACGTGCTTTCCGTGGGGAGGTGGGGTCTAAGACCTCGGCTTTCTCCCTGCCAGCCCACGGGGCTGCCAGAGCTCCTTCCCCTCTGCTCTTTCTCCCTTCTGCTCAGCCCTTCCACCAAAGGTAGATCCTCCTGGTCAAGAGGCTGTTGGCTGTGCCAGCCACCATACCTTGGGCTCGGCACCAGCATGGGATGGCTTCCCATCGCTTCTCCAGCTGCCATGGTGGGACAGGCCCCCTCATGCTCCCCATGGAAACAGGCTCCTCTTGACCTGTTTCTGCCCCTGGCCACCAAATGGGGCCAGGTCATGGTTGTGCTCTCAGTCTGGGCTGCTTTTTCCGTTTTTTAAATCAATAAATGCATCTTGTGGTGACAAAAATATTAATTACCTCCTATAAATGGTGCACTCAAATATTTCATTGTGCAGGCTGTTTGGATGGGGGTGCCTGTGCTGACACAAGTCTGCTGTGATGTGATCCAGCAGTGTCCTTGCACTGGATGGGCTTTGCCGTAATAGTACTTTCATTCCTTAGCTCCCATTAGTGCCTTGATGAATAGTGGAGGATGTTTCAACAATTTTTTATGATTAAAAAGCAGCATCTTACCGTTGCTTGGTCTCTGGTGCCTTTGCCCTGTTCATTATGCTTTGCCCGGGAGTAACAGCAGTGATTTAGAGTTGCAACATCAACATCAGTCTCTGAACCTTGTGTTTTCTGGGAAGGGGAAGAGAGAGGATGAAGGAGGAAGTCTAAGTAGTAGGGTTTTTTCTTCTGACATTTCCAGGCTGGCTGTTTGAAACTGTGATGCCTCCCAGTGATTAGACACATTTATCATAACTCTGACATTGAGTTCCTGGACAGGAACCCCCTGACAGCTGCTCTGGAGCACACCTGGACAGGGTTTGGAGGCACCAGCCAGGCCCAGGGCACTCATTTGTGCTCCAGGTCCACTGCTGTCACTGGCACTCGTGCTAATGGCCTTAGTACAGAGGTCAAAGACTGCTTAGATATGAAGACTGAATCACCTCCTTGTTAAACCCCTCAGCAGGATCAAGGCTTAGGGAAGCAAACACGTGGGCTTGCCTTCTGGCTGACACTGTGGATGGAGGCTGTGACTCTGAGATGGACCTTTTGGCAGGTTCGACCAACCATTGAGGCATCAAAATGGGGGTGTCTGGTGATTAAAACACTCCTGCACTGACACCCCTCTGTGAAAAAGCCTGGTGTGTTCATTTCCTTTAAAGACTTGCTGATCCCGCAAGCTCTTGGTGGTTAGAGGAGGTTTATCCTGTCACCTGAGGATCACAGAAATCAGCAGTGAGCCCGTCAGTCTTACCAGGCAGATGTGAAAGATCTTCAGCTGCGCGCATTTCACTTGCAAATATAAATAATCCAGCAGTGTAGGTCTCGCTGCAGCCCTGTTTGCCTTGGCAGTGTCCCATTGACGTGAATCAGAAGGTGGGAGCAAAAAGCACTGGAGGCTCATCCAGAGCCTGGTCTCCCCTCTGTCAGGGAACCTGTCCGTGCAGGCAGGGTGATTTGGAGATTACTGGCACAGCCCAGAACTTCACTGGGTCCCTGCATTTTGAACAGTCCTGCCTTGTTTCCTCACGTTGTGCCTTTGGGAACCTTCCTCTTGGGGCACTGGGCAGGAGTGACCTGGAGGGAGCAGCTGTGGTTATGTCCTTTGCTCCTGTGGCTTTGCTTCCTTGAGAGGAAGGGAACTCCTGTGTTTCAAGCTGAGAAGCAGGAGGTCAGTTCTTAAGCCTGCTGCATCTCTGCAACTTTTGGTAGGTCTCTGAATCACGCCATGCCTGAGTTTCTAAGCTGTAAAATAGGGATAGAAATGAAGAATTTTTTAACAAAAATAAGGACTTGAATAAATAAGCAGCTGTAACTTGTGATGCTGTCACCACCACAAGGTTCTCATGTCGGTTTGAGCTTCAAGGCTTTCATTTAATATTGATAACAATAAAAAAGTTTGGTACGATATTAGTGATTGGAAACTTAGAAACTGTTTTTAATTTTAACATGATTTTAATTATTTTTTTTTTTTTTAATTTCAGCAAATTCAGTAAAGCTAGAAATGCAAAGTGATGACGAATATGACAGGAAGCCCCTGAGTCATGAAGATGAGATCAGAGCTCACGATGAAGGAAGCAGCCTGGAAGAGCCCTTCATCGACAATAGCGAGATGGTGGATAACAGAAAGATCCAGGAGCTATCAAGCGAGGGAGGAATCCGGCTTCCGAATGGTAAACTGAAATGTGACGTCTGTGGCATGGTTTGCATTGGGCCCAATGTGCTAATGGTACATAAAAGGAGCCACACTGGTAAGCAGCTGAAAGAAAACCTGATGACTGCCTGTGGCGTCTGATGTTGATGTTGCCTGACAACTCTTCTCTCTTCCCTTTTCATTCTTGGGGTTCCAGGAGGCTGGGGAGGGGGGGAATGGGCTTCATTGGTTTTGTTCTCTTCCTGCTCCCCAAATTCTGGTGATGCTCTGTTTCTGGCGAGCATGGTGCTTCCTTGACTTTGATTTCCAGCCTTTTGTTCTTAAAAGCAGCACTAAAGTCTGGAAATTGCTTTTCTTACTGTTCTTGACTGGGGACAAGATGGTGAGAGTCATTCTCTGGCGTGGAAGGGGTGTGTATGTGTGCGTGTGTGTGTGCATGTGCAAGACTTTTGAACCTTTAAGGTGAGTCTTAGGTGGCCTTCCTTTGGAGGTGCTCACAGGTGGGCAAGGCCAACGGCTTCCTGGGGATCTCCCACCTCCTTTGCAAGTGGCTGGGCCTGGGATTAGCAAAGCCCATGGGGGGCACTCATTACTCACCCGTCCTGTTGCCAGGGTGGGCTTGCTGTTCACTGTGTGACAGCTCCATCAGGGAAACCTCACCTGAAGCCCTCCTGGGCTCCCCCACACCAGCCAGATACCATTCTGGGGGCAGCTTTCAAAGCTTACTCTTTGTATTTTTATTAGCATTAGTATTACTACTGTTTGGAGACCAAAACAGCTGACCAGGCTTGAGGGTTTGAGTTCAAGAGGTGGACGGAACCTTTGCAATGTGGTGATTGAGTGGTCTTTATGGCTTGAAAGATGAAGCCTTGAGCTTCAGGGAATTTTTGGGGAGTTATGGCTAATATGATAAAATGGGATGCCCAAGAGGCTGGTAGTCTCTCCCCTCTGCTGAGGAGTGACCTCAGGTGGGAATGACAGTCACTTCCAGCAGAAGTACAGGTGGTGCCAGCAGATGATGCTCTCTGGTAGTGCCTTGGATTCAAAAAAGCACTTAAGCTTGTTCTTAACTTTTATGAGATTTAAGCACATGTAAGTCACCTGAACTGCTTCAATATAAGCTTAACTTAAGATCCACACTTAAATCTTATTAAGTTTAAGCACGGTTTTTTGTGGTGGAGCCTCAGTGGGTGTTTGTTCTTCATATTCTTTGGACAAAGTGAAAGATGCTTTGCTTTTTATCTTTGTCTACTATTATTTAATGGGTCAGAGACTCACACTGACTGAGACATCTGCGAAGATATAAAAAGTGAGGGGTTAAGGTAGAGAAAGAAAGACTGAGTAATTCCTTTGTAAACCTGGTAGATTGCAGTCAAGGGTGCTCTTGATGGGCAAGAAATCAATAGAATTTCTGTACGGAGAATTAATAAATATATATTACACAGTTAATGCCCTGTATATATAAGTTGTATTGATAATAACTTAACATAAGTGTATAATGCCAAGCATGGCAATATCATTTATGATGCAGTCCTGATTTCAGAGGAGTTACGAGAGAGGAAAAGCATTAGCTGGAGAACCAAAACCTTGATTAACAATTTGACATGCTACTGCTAGGAAATGGAGAGGGAAGTGAGAATGTAACAGACTGAGTCCCCAGCTTTCAACCTCCTGAAAAGTTTTCACTGGTGCTTGCACATATCCAAGCATATGTATTGTAGGTGCATCAGAGTCCACATATTTGAACTCCAGCAGCTAAACTAGCCCTGCCAAATTTAGATTTAGGTACCTAGTTAAATGGTCTGCATTTTTTGAGATACTGAATAGCTAGTGACAAGCTGCCTTTTTCATGGTAAAGAACACATGTAAATTCCAAGTGAATGGAACAAAATCTCATCTGCGTGAGGGCAAGACGGCCGTACGGGGGTGCATGGGCAGGAATTGCATAACTGGTAGCTTTTTCCTTGGGGCTACTGCTGGTTCCTCGTAGAGCTCTGACTCTTTTCCCATCAGAGCAGAGGAGCTGGGATGTACTGTTCTATACAGATGATTTCAAGCATATAGAAATGGCATTTCTTTTAATGTGCAGCTCGGTGCTCTGCTCTCAGTAAACCAGTTGGCAAATTTTGTAGGGGATTTTTTTTCCCTCCACTTTGTTTGTTTTTTGATGCGTGCTGCTGCTTCACTGTCCACAACAGAAGGGGAAGTTTTCTTGGATTTCCACATCCTTGATTTTAAGGAGTATTTTTAACACACTGGTATATATCTTTTAAAGTGCAGTATTTTAAAATATATTGCCACTTCCTCAGCAGCTGGGCTGGCCCTGGCTCTGGAATGAGCCCTGACCTGTGGGAAGGCTGGTTTTGCAGCCCTAGGGAGAACGGTGGAGGGAAGGGAGGTTGTCCCCAGTGAGTGGAAACGGATGACATTCTTCATCAGCTAATGCAGCTGGCATGTGCATCCTTACCTCTCAAAGCCAAGTTAAGTATGTTTTGGGAGCCGAATCCTGCCTTACTCTCCTCTTTACTTGCACACAATCAAAGCATGGTCTGGCCAGTTGTTTGCATTGGCAAAAACTGAAGTCCTTTTCCCTTCCCCGAAAACCTGTCAGCATTCTATGTAAATCACCCAAAATCTTGTGGTCCCATAGCGGAGGCTGTAATTTGTGTGTGTGCTGGGATGAGTGTGGCTTTCCTTGCACCAGGGATCCAGGCTTGGCAAGAAGCTGTGCCATATGGCTCTGGCTGCACTGTGCACATAAAAGGGCACACTTCCCTCTAGCCAATGCTCATCTGTTCTTGAAGAGCAGTTGTCTTCCCTGCCACATTATGGTGGTTCAGTCAAACAGACATAGGGGTGGGGAAAATAATCTGTGCCATGGATGAGGCCGGAGTAGAAGAGCTCAGTGTCCCGTCTCTGATTGTCATGTGCTGTTGCCCCTTCCTGTGATATAGACCCAGCTGGGAATTTCCCATTTATCCTGCCTCGTGCACATGGTGCAAGCGATGCTCTGGTCCACGGCACTTCTGTCACGAAGCCCATGGCACTGCTCATCTGATTCTGCCAAACATAATATTTCTCTGAAAAACTGATAATAGAGGTGAAGAGTTTTTATAATCCTCATGGGCATCAGGAGAACACCTTTCTATTTGTTTGTCATTGCTGACAGAAAATAACAAAATGCTCAGTGTGGGAACTAAGCGTTATGCACTCCCTGTGTTAGTGAGCAGGGTAACCCCCTGCCTCATGTGCCATGTCCTTGTGTCAGACTAATAGCATGTGTCAGGTTTGATTTATTTTCCTCCTTTCCCATGCTATGTTCTTTTGGTCCAAATTTCATATTCCACAGCACATTCCCCAACTTGGACAGCATCTTTAGCAGAGTTTTATGTTACAGGAGGTGGCTGGTTACATAATGTTGCCACTGGATATTCCAGGGTTTTTGCTTGGGGATGTAGATGGAAAGGCAGAAGAAGATAAGGTCAATAATCCAGATTTTCTGAGGTAACAGAAAGGAACTTTAGTGATTTCTCACCTCTTTATGCTGTCTGCTAGTGGGCCAGAATTAAAATTTCCTTGCTCCTCATTTTTGGTAAAGCAGAAACCATTTGCTGGTACAACTGTGCTGCTGCCTCTGTGATCTGCAAGGTCCACACAGTGTTCTCCCCTGTGCTGTGAATTTTGATCTTTCTTTATACTTCTTTTTCTCCACTGTAGTACCCAGTCCTTTATCTAATCCACTGCTGGATTTTGAAATACTTTTTATTTTTAAGGGAGGGCTGGGATCACAGAATCACAGAATGGGTTGGGTTGGAAGGACATTAAGCTCATCTCGTTCCAACCCCCTGCCATGGGCAGGGACACCTTCCACTAGACCAAGTTCCTCCAAGCCCCATCCAGCCTCGCCTTGAACATTTCCAGGGATGAGACATAGACAACTTCTCATCCTCATTGTTTTATAAACAGCCAGAGGTGAAACGTTTCCTCTCTGTGGATGCAGAGTAAAGCCGGGTCCCTGGGTCCCAGGCACAGCACAGAGCCAGCGGGGACGTCAGCCTTGTCCCACCCTCACCTTGGGCTGCTGGTAGGTTATTTTTAGGCTTTTTTGGGGGGTGTTAACGGAAGGAGGGTCTGAAATCTTTGCTCGGACTCAACATACACTTCAGTGCCTCAGTCAGTTAAATGAGTTACATTATGTGCCCATGAGGGAAATCTTCAAGTTCTGCCGTAGCGTCCGTAGTGTTATAACTGAACATATGCAACCCTGGAAGTCTGAATGCAATTTGTTTTTTCATGCAGAGTTCAAGTTTGTGGGACACAATTAATAAATGAGGAAAAACCCAGCTGTGCTGTTCCGTAGTAAAGACTTGTATGCCTAAAGCAGCTAATCAGGAACAAATTTAAACAAATGGCCATATTAACACATTGCAGTGAACTCCATTGGTCTGCCTCTCTTATTTTGTTCACAGAAAGGTTATATTTGGTTTAATTTCTAATTTGTCACCTCGTGCAGGCTTCCTGTCTCTTGCAATGTGAATCGATTTGGCACTGAATCAAAAATCATAGGGCTGAATTTCTGAAAGTCATAATTTCTACTTAGGTTTTGAAATCTAACCTTTTGAAAAGCCTCATTTTCTACTTAAGCATAAGGAAAGGGAGCCGAGATTTTTGAAATCGCTCTCTGCAGAACACCCTTTTTGCTTGCAGTACTCAGTAACTAAACTCTTCAGCTATTTTTGCCAGTTCACTTAAAAGATTTTTCTGCCGTAAGAATGCGGTCATAAATTTGCGCAGAGGACACTTGGAAATCACCCAGGATTTCCCAGGAATTTTTCATGAGAGATTTGTCACTACTTTTTTATAATAAATTGCCCTATCTGGCAGTAGGTTTTTCCCAACAAAAAACCCTACTAAAATCGCTAATTTCAAGTGATGTGCCAGCCTGTTAAGTGAATCAGATAGAACAGTAAGTGGGTATGCAGGCTAGCTATGGTCCCTGGAATAAAAAATACAGGACAGGAATGGAGCAAAGTGCTGCTCTGTGTCTCACTTGGGTAAAGGCAGGTTGGAACTCGCTGCTGTCAGTGTGTTGGGAGCACAGCTGATATTTCATTTGTGCTCCTGGGACAGAGCAGAGTCAGAGCAGTTGCAGCATCTGACGGATCAGGAGAAATGTTTCGTTTTAACTGAAATATTAACAAAAAGCATGCTAGAGAAAGGTGAAAATCAATATTATTAGTAAGAGCAAATACATTCTGATGGCAGTACCGGCACAGTAGTTTTACGTTAAGAGACTGGAAAGAAAAAATCCTGTTTGAGAAGTGCCTAAGCTATACTTTGCATATCAAAAGTATGTGCCACACAAAAAAGACTGAGATCTCAGATATACATTTAGCCAGGACAGATACTGAAGTCCCACTGGACCTGTTTTTTATGTAGAAGGACTGCTGCTTTAGGAATAACTAGGCCTTGATGATAATGAGAACTGGTGCAGTAATTTGTGAGTCTCTCCATTTAATTTCAAAGGGACAAAAGTTACCAGTCAAGGATTATGAAAATCTAAGTCTCCTTGGTTTGCCAGGTCTGTGGGCTCTGTGTCCTCAGTCAAATTTCTGTTTTGGTACAGAAAATATTGCTGCTTTGCACCGAAAATATCAGTGTTTTGCACTGGTCTGAGATTCGAAGAAGGGTAACTCATACCGAAACTTCTGCGCAGCACTTCCGCACCGAGGCGGGAAAGGAGTTATTGTGCAGGGAAGCTTCCAATTAAGCAGAAAAAGGAGTTGGTTTGCTTTTTGAAATAACATTTGACATATGTGAAATCAATTAGCAGGAATTTAACAGTTCATTTGCCTGGTTTCAGGTCTTATCAGCCAGACAGCCCTCGTAGCTTGTGCTGTGGAGTCTCCCACCAGATGCCATGTATTTAAGATACTATGAAAGGCCCATGTCTTGCTTGCCCTGACTTCATGGGTCCAATTCACCTTTCATCTCACAATTTGTTTACACAACAGCAAGTTAACTTGCGTACTTTAGATACTGGTGTAGCTCAAGAGTAGTAATATTTCATTAATATTATTCATTATTATTTTTCCTGGAGGAGACAATGAACTGTGAGGTTTCAGCAGTATTTTACTTAATTTAGAGGTAAATATTTGAAATCATACCTTTTAATTAATATTTTGTTTAACTGTAAAATTATAAAACCCCATGGATGTATTCATTTATTAATGTAAATATTCCCTGGCACAAACCCCTCTTGCAAAGCCTTTAGGAAAGGTAATACTTGGCAGCTCTGGTTTACCTTGCCTAGCCCATTCCTGGAGTAACTTTAGATAATTAAATTCCTTGTGTTGGAGAGCAAGGCTTTTAAGGCATTCCTGGTTTTGTCCGGCTTTAGATTCTAAATCTGCAGTTGAAAAGAAACATCTTTTTTGTTTGGTTAACTGTTCCTCCCCCTCTCGCCACCCTGAAAGTCTTTTTTTCCTGCCCCCCTCTCTCTTTTTCTTTCTTTTTTTTTTTTAATCACTAAGGTTGGAGGCTTTTCTGCCCTGGTTTAGCTCAATAATAGAGAAATGTTTAATACTTAAAGTAGACTAAAAATATTTTGCAGTTATGTTGCAGTCACATAGTTTCTAGTGCTGCAAAGCAAAAAACTCGCTTAGTCACCTTTCGGTGGAGTTCTTATTTTAATAAATCTGTGTAAGTACATAGAGTCAAGCAGTAAATACATAGCAATAAATGGTGGGAAATACACTGTGCTTATAATTGTCCTTACCCTCTTGTAGTTGTGTGTGCCACCTTTAATAGGTCTATGTTTTCTGGTATGTCTCTGTTACCATCACCCCCAAAGACAGGAAAGCATTTTAAACGCAGTCAGGGACTGTCACATAGAGAAAAAATGTGCTTAGAGACTTTTTGTGAGTGGATGTTTAATTTGAAGTATGACTGATTTTAGCTTATAAAACCCTTTAGTTTTCACAGAAGAGTAAGGGAGGTGAGTAAGGACATCAGGGTTGTTATTTTGTAACTAGGAAGTAATAATACTGGAGAACAGCTTACAAAGTTACCAGGAAAAGGCAGCAGGAGAAATAATTGGAAGACAGTCTTCTCAAGGCATTGAAGTGATAAAGAAGGCTTGTTTGCTAGTGTCTGGAGTGGGCATCAGACAGCACAGTTCTTGGAAAACCAACAAAATCTTCTTGCTATTCAGTCTTTGCTTCTCTTTGTGCACTCTTCTATTGGATAATGGCCTCTCAGATTAGCTGTGCTAAATGTAAAAGCTGCTAATCAATAGCACGAAGGTGTGACCAAAATTGCATCCCACAAGCCTACAGCTTAAACAAGGAGCTGGAATCGAATGATTGGACAAAAGTGTAACAAACAGATCAAAGCAGCTATTTACCCGGAATGAAGCCAGTAGGAAAAATGAATTCATGCTGGCTTTAAATAGATACAAAGGTTACTTAAGGTAAAATGTGCTGTTGGAGTCTCTTGTGAGAGAGGAGCAGACTATGGGTGATTTTGTGGTGAGTGTTTTCATGTCATCTTGGCCACTGAACTGTGTTGCAGTGACTATTGAATTCCAGATGCTTTCAGCATCTCTTGAGCAGCCAGTTTATTGAGGAGTAATACATGCTCATGTGGGGCCTCCAAAATGTCAGGGATAAGTGGGTGATATAGCGGGTAAAACACAGTAACTGCACAGTTTTACATACAGCGGGAGTAAAAGACTTCAGACTTGATAAGAAACGTGCTACCTTCTTTCATGTTGTCATCCTGAAACTAAAGCTATCATTCCAGAATACTCAGAAACGTGTCAAAGGAAAGAGCTTTGCCTATTTTCTCAGACAGCGAAAGCAAAACAGAAAAGAAGAAAAAACCCATGTATTTTTCTACTGCAGTCTCTTTACATATCTCTGTTATGGACATTCTGAAGTGATATCAAAGGAGATAATGGCTAATCAGATCCTTTAAGTATAGTGTGGGAGTTTGAAAGGGAAACCACAAACTCTTTATCAATTCTAATGAGTTTGTGTTCAGTGTATTGGAAGAAGAGCTTTATACCGTGATTTTTTTTTAACATTACTCTGTAATGTTCTTGATGAGATTGTAGGAACCTTGGTATCTTCTTGAGTGCTTTTTCAGTAGTCTCAGATGTGATTTCCAGCTCCCACATGTGAAGTCAAGTTGCAGAGGTATGGCACATACATGTCACACCTACCTTCTGCTGCCCTCCTGGCAGTGATTTAAACCACTGAGGCAAGAATTGCTTGTGGACATCTGTAAGAGCTCTTTTCCTTCCTCTCTTTCCATTTGAATCTCCAGGCATATTTTGGTCTTCACATTAGACACAAGAACTACTTTGATAAAAGCATTTTGTCCAGCAAGGGAGTAATCATTTTAAAGCAATAGAGAAAGGCTTTGAAGAGATGAGAAAGATCACAGAATGTGCTTGTTTTTCACAAGATCTGTGCTTCAGGCCATCGAATTCAACCTCAGAAGTCCCACTGGGATTCAACCAAGGCTCTGTAATAGGTGATGCACTGAAAAAGTGGACAAGGTTGCTTATATCTGAAATCTGATGTTCAAGACCTTGTTGAAATGGGGCCCTACTTGGTGTAAACCTGCTTTAATTGAAAGAGAATAGATTTAAATGAGATATGAGGAAACAATCCTTCCCTGTGATGGTGGTGAGCCCCTGGCACAGGTTGCTCAGAGAAGCTACAGCTGCCCCATCCCTGGAAGTGTCCTAGAGCAGCTTGGACGGGGCTCAGAGCAACCTGGTCTAGAGGAAGGTGTTCCTGCCCATGGCAGGGGGTTGGAACGAAATGATCTTTGAGATCTTTTCCAACCCAAACCATTCAGTGATTCTGTGTTCTAAAGCCCAGCTGCAGTAAAGCACTTGGACAAGTGGCAGCACAAGTATATGCTTGTATTCAATGGATTTGCTCAACAGGACATAAACAGATGATTAGAGCTGCCCAAGAATGCTGGAACCGCCTGAGTGTCCTCAACAAATGTTGACATAGAGTACAGTTTTAATAATATTTCACAAAACCTGTGTGAGTTTGTCAGGGGTTTTCCTCTAAAAGATAATTACCAAAAAAAAAAAAGTGGTTTTTATCAGCCCAATCCCCACTGTCTAGAGCAAACAGGAAGGTTTTACATAAAAATAAGCTTTGGATGTGTGTGTGTGCGCATGTGTAAACACATGGGGTGAAGGGAGAGGGCAAGGTCTAGAGTTTCTGTTATTTTTTCATCAACTGAGTCTTTTTAATTTGTTTTATGTAGAGTGCAAACTTGCTTGTTTCACAGTTTAATGGTGAAAGATTTTTCTCAATGTTTGCTTCTGCCCAAAGCTTGTGGGCCTGATCCTCACTTGTATCAATTCCCTTCATGCCACTCTAGCAGTGCAAAACAGCCTTTAGAAAGGACTTTCAATGAGGGTATAATGCAAGCAAGAGCTTTGTTTTGAAGCAAAGACCTTAACACCTTCACTAAGGTCCAATTGTTACGATCAGTTCCAAATACTCACGTGGATTGGACCTATACTGAAAATAAGTGCAAACCCATAGAGATAAATACGACAAAATCACAATTATGGATCTAAATTGTCAGCAGACCTCATCTTTTATAAAGGATGGAACCTCTGAGGTGAGGAACTTTCAAGAAAATCAGGCTGCACTGATCACCTCAAGTAAAGATTCTCAAATCCCTATTGAGGCTTTGCCCATTGTGCAAAAGAAATGGCCTCTGACTGTAGCAAGTGCCATGTGATGGTGGCAGTGGGGACTGTACCCATGTAAGAAGGCACTACTACAAAGAGCAGGATAATGGCCTCTGTGCATCCTCTGATGTGTCTTGACAGCTCTCTCCCTTCCCCTTCCCTTCCAGGTGAACGCCCCTTCCACTGTAACCAATGTGGAGCTTCTTTTACCCAGAAGGGGAACCTGCTGAGGCACATCAAGTTGCACTCTGGGGAGAAACCGTTCAAATGTCCCTTCTGCAGCTACGCCTGCCGGCGGAGGGACGCCCTCACAGGACACCTCAGGACGCACTCTGGTGAGCCCACCTTGGCTTCTCTTCCCAATTCTTCCTTCCTTTGTCACTACCGTCCCAGTGAAGCAGGTAGTGAAAATAACTGTGTGTTCCTGGTGGCTCTGGGTCTGTACCATCCTCCTCAGATAGTGCAGCTCTCCGCTTTGGGAAAGCCTTGATGTGAATCAGAAAAGTTGTGGTTCAGCCACACCTCTCCTTTTGTGTAACTGAGCTCCTCTGCTGATGCTATCACATTTCCCTCTGAATGTCTCCTTGGGTGTATCCAGGCTCCGCTGGCAGATTGTTTTGACACTCTAGGCCCCAAAGTGGCTGTGAAATTCCAAGGATCAGAAAGGATAACCCTGGGCTCTTGGAAGCCTGCTTTGCAGTTCATACCCATTTCTTCATCTAATAAATGCCATATGCTGGTAGAGGTCAAACTTGTTCATCTTTCAAAAACCTCTGAATTGCATTTTTGATTCAGTTACCTCTTGCTGTAGAGTCCTAATTCGTGGCAGCCGCAGCAGCCACCCTAGAGCCAAAGGTGGTCGAGAGAGATTCAATTTCTCTTGCCTTGTTCAGTGATAGTATCTTGTCTCTATCAAGTCTACTTGATACAGTTGCTTGATATGTTGCAAAGAAATACGCACCACATAACTGCACTCTGGTAGTCACGTTGGAGCTCCCATGATCAGGATCAGATGTGGTTTTAGTCCCTGTGCACCAAGGGGCTGCAATCTGCCCACTTACTCATCTGTGTAGGACTCCTGAGTAAGATCTTAACTTGCTGCGCTTTTTATCTCCTAGAATGTTCAACTTGTGCGTTCGGGCCATTTATAAGGGGCTGTGTTTTTCATTGTTGAATGAGCAGAGATAATTGGACTGGTTACAAGTGACAGCATTTTAGAGATGAACTTCTCTGAGGTGTTAGCGAACGTGTGACTGCTGAAACACAGTGGCTGAAGTGCAGCTGCAGACAGAAATCCTGCATGAGCTTCCTGACTCTTCCTATGTGTTTCTCCTGCAGGGCCAACCTCACTTCATTAGAAGTTTCTGTTTTATGAGCATTAAGTTGGACTTAGGATACAGAGTTACCTTGGCATTTCCAAGAATAGGAAAGGATAAGCTAGTAAGCTCTTCCAGGTAAACTGGGGAGTATGCAGGAGGCCGTATTGATGGAAAGTGCTTACATAGAAAGCATGAGCATCCAAGGGAGTGCAGGTGTGGAAGAGAATTGCTTGAGTTGTCAGCTGAGAGGATTTGATCTGGAAGTCAGAAGGGAAAATGTCTGTGGAAGTATGAGGTGCAATTTTCACACATCTGACCATAACTGTAGTTTCAACTTGAAATTTAATAAAAACCAAAACACGATAAAAATGTTCACAATTAAAATTAAAATGGAACTGTGACAAAAAGCATCCCACGTTACAAAACGTAAACATTGCAGTTGAAGATTTTTTTCATCATATGAATATGAATTTTGTTACCTACACAGTGCCATTAATAGAGGTTGTTCTTCCTGTATGAAAAGCACATGGCTGATGGCTCTACTTTTTGCGTGAGGATGAAATGTAGAGGTGTGGGATTTTCCGAAGGCACCTAAGCTGCTTAGCACATGAGTTCCGCTGGAGCTCCTTCCCTAAGTGACTTAGCTCGCTGACTTAGCTGTGTTCAGCGCTGCTCAGTTTGTAATTTTATGCTTTGTTTTCCGTGGAGAAAGTGTCACCCCCTAAGCACTCAGCTACAGCAGCTTTCAGCAGAAGGCCACCAGGAACAGACAAGTGTTCCCAAAATGCTCTCCAAGGCAGTTCTTAGAGTACAGCTCACAGATGAAGAGTTAAAACTTGGATTATTGCCCTAAAACCTAAATTCTACATGAAAGTGAAATGCCACTCTGGACATGAGCGTGGTGCCTTTCTGTCCCTGCCATATAGACAAGCTGAGTTGACTTATGCACACCTGTGTGAGCCTGGATCATGGAAAAGATGGGTAGATGTTCCCTAGAGACTTAAACCGGTTTCATAACACTGTACTACGAACACTCTCTGCTTTAATAAAGCGCACATCAAGGTCTGTAAGTAGGCCTGGAAGGTACAGCAGATCTAGTAACTGCATCCAAGGTCTTTTCCAACCCAAGTAATTCTATGATTCTGTCAATGTTTACATCTTCTGCTACTTCTGATCAGAAAAGGAGATGTCAGATAAAGTATAGAAAGAAGAGGTTAAAAACTGTTTTGAAATATGAGACTTCAATCAAGTCTCAGTCCTAATGTCTAAACTGAGGTGTCTGAATATATTTTTATATTTGTAAGAGGAGAGCTCTATAGATCAGATCCTCAGCTGATATAGACTGGAATTACATCCCCTAAGCAGGAAAGTACTTCTGTTTTGCACCAGTTGAGAATCTGGCAAGTATCATCATAAATGCAAGACCAATTTCTTTTTTTTATGTTCTATGTATGTCCTTTTCCTCTTTAAATAGGAGAGTGCTCTTAATAAAAAAAATAAAACAACCCCCAAAAAAACCAAACAGAAACCTCACCAAAGCAAAACTCTTTTCTCCTTCCCAAGAAGGTCTTAAACTACTATGAAAGGCAAATTATGCAAGAAAGGAATTGAAGAATTTTGTTAGATCCTCTTTTTTTCTCCCAGCTAGTTTGATTTTTGGATTTTAGAACATTTTGTGTCAGCACTTAAGTCAGTGGCACCCTCTCACTACTGCCAGTTAGTCAGTTTTTCCTGTTCTTAATGCAGAGTTTTTATATAGTACAACAGGAAAGGTGAAAAAATAAGGAAATGTAATTGCAAACAGAAATTAGCAGCAGCATCCCTGAGATATCTCAAATAGCTGATACTACCCGTTAACTTTAAAAAAAAAAAGATAGCTTTTTGTTGTTGTTGTTGCTTTGGGTGAATGTTTTGTTCATGCTTTTTAATATTAATTCCTATTTATTTGAAAATGTTTCTAAGCATCACAATCTACATTTTGCCTCCCCTTCTCGTGCAGAATAATATCTTACTGAGTAAGTGTTCCCAGGACAAGTGGTTAACAAAATATTGCTCTGCATCTGTAATGCTGCTGCTGTTTAACCCTAAATAATTAAGGACTTATCTTGCAGTGATTTACTCCTGCAATTATTTACCTTTTACAGACATATGGAGTTCTGATGAACTTTGTGTCTGTATTTTCCTCCCACATGCAGCTGCTTTGATTTCAGGAGTATAATGATGCCTTCAGGACATAGTAGGATAATGCCTGGGGAGAGATTCATGCACAGAATTACACTAAGAGTGGGCATGAACCTCAAGGTACTTACAGGACTTTCAGATGTTGTTTTCAGAATTAACTCCATAGTTCCACAACACAGATAACACAGGAGAGGTGCCTGAGAAGGCTTCCAGGACAGGAATGTAAGGACAGGCTGTGGAGAGCTGGGGCAGAAGTTGGTAGTCCCCTCCCACAGGATGCACTGGAAAAAAACAGCGGGGATTGGCTTGGCCTTGCCTGGCTTTTGCTGTTTTTAAAGAGGAAAACATCCAGGCAAATCCAATCTGCTGATGGCAGTCACAGAGTACCTGCTGTCTCACCCTGAGACGTGCCCGTCTTCTCCATCCTCGCTGGAATTACACAAGGCAAAGGCAGATACAAACTAGATGAGACAAATTCTGCTGTAGGCAATTAATGAGCATACCCCAGAAGTTTTAAGGGAGACAGTTGATCTGACAGGTCAATCTGGTGGTTAAAGCACCCACACAGACCTCCATACTTTGAGAGATATGAAGCACAGCCTGATGCTGTTTTACCCCAAAAAGCCAGGCATCCTCAAATGGGCACATAAAATTAGCCGTGATGTTTTGACATGGATTTCTCTTGTGTCTAAAGCAAAGCCAAGTCAGCTCTTCCCCCATAATGCTGTTGTAAACATAAACAAGGCTTTGACAGTACTTGAAAAAGTCAAGGCTGCAGTGATGAGCAATCTGGAAGAGCCCAGAGCAAATATGAGTGCGTTAGTTTTCAGAGCAGGGCTTGGGCAGTAAGTGGTAAATGAAGGATGGGGTCACTTGCTAAAGGGAAAAAACCTCCACAGAATAGGTTTTGATTAAGCAAGAACTATCCATCTATTGCACTAAGCAAGGATGGTCCTGTGGGCAAATTGTTTTGTCATTAAAAGACTGTCTTGTCATGTGTACACACAAAATGGCCACATGAACCTTAATTCTGGAATTTCCTGATTTTTCTTTATTACCTTGGTAGCTTCAGTCATGTTTCATTATTGTGGGAGTATGTAAGTGTTATTCATATATGAAAGCAGTTTTACTGTTTATTTCTTTCTAAAAAAATGGGTAGTCAAATAATTATTTTTTCCTGTCACAGAAGCTTTTCCTCACAATACATTTTAAAATTTGCTTCCAAGCTACTTCTTTCCTGCTTAGAAAATACTTTTTTTCTCCCCCTTTTTTCCTCCCCCCTTCATCCTGCATTGCTGCTGCACGTTGTTTGCTACTGCCCAGTTCTTCAACAGCACTGAGCTAGTGGTACCACTTTATTGGCAAAAGAAAACCAGAAAGTGTTTGTTTTGAAAAGAAAAGCTTAGGCAAAAACTCCCAAAAGCACAATCTTAGCAAACTATGTACAGCGTGCAAGATAAAAGGCATGTCTAATTAGAAAGGAGAATGCCCTGTTCATGGAAACTCTTTCCATGTTTCTTGATTTGCAAGTCCATCTTTCTCATCTCTTCTTGTCCCTAAGGATTTCCTCCCAGCCCTTCCTGGGTGGCAATGAGCCATTCGAGGTGTCCCACACACCTGCAGTTGTGTGGCAGAACGGGAGAGTGATATCTGTGTGTGCAGATGTTCTCAGAGCTAGAAGGAACCTGTTTCCTAACCCTGATGACATGCCTGCCTCAATACATGTTTGGGAGAGTCATCCCACATGTGAGTGGCTCAACCTGGCTGAAAAATTGGATGAACAAGTGTCAGAATGCACAATGCTGTGTGTGAATGCCTGGCTGTAAAAAACCAGT